AAAGAAAGTCAGAACAACAAGAAATATACATGTATATCCTGTTTTTGGCCATCCGAAAGAATTTTAAAAATTCTATAAAAATTTTTTATGTTTGAAATGCAACCGTGGACGCCAGCTGGCAGCGAAACTTGCAAATTCCTGCAAATTTGCGTTCGTGCAGAAATTTGCAAGTTTCTCAACATGAGAGAGAATTTGAGAGAATTTTTTCTTACTCTCTGATATTTTGAGTGTTGGATAATTCTTGCTGGATCTTCGACGAACAAACCTGTTGTTGTTGTTGTTGTTGTTGTTGTATTGGCTACTAAGCCCCGTTCGGGGCGGTTCCTCCATCAACGTTGTCGTCAATTTCAGCTAGGGGGAGGCCCAGGAAGTGTGCGACTTCAACAGGGGCTGTCCATAGGGACAGGGGCGTTAGCTCAGAGGGGTTCTCAGGGCATGTGAAGAGGTGCCGGGAGTCATGTGGCGACTCTCCACATGCCGGGCATTGGTTGGGCACATCCTCGTTGATTCTACTCAAGTAAGAGTTGAGCCTGCTGCAATAGCCACAGCGAAGTTGGGCTATTTTATTTATTTTATTTATTTATTTATTACAGTCATTTGACCTATATACATTCACGTATATACATTTTAATTATGTATTGCAATATACAATAAAAGTAAAGTTAAATTTAATGCTTAAAATACGTTAACCTGTTACATTTTTCCTTCTAGGCTATATAATAGTATGTATATTTATTGTAGTGCGGGTCTCCCAAGGCAGACAAAGTTCTGTCCCGTCCACGTCCGGTGGTTGTGTGCCTAGAACGGCATTCACAGGGCGGCAGTCTACATAACTTGAGACTGATTTCCTGTGAATGCCGTTCAGAGCCTGTCGGTAGGTTGACGGGTCCAGAGGTTGTTTGATAAATCTCTGGACTTCGTCCGTCAGTTCGTAAAGATGCCTCCTGACGTGCCGTGGCGAGGGCTCTTCCGCGAGCAGCTGACCGCTGGGATGGCCACGTCTGTGGCTCCCAGCAAGGAACTGCTTGCAGAGCATTATGTTATGCTCCTTTACTGGGAGCATCTGGGCCTCGTCATGTAGGTGGTGTTGGGGCGACATCAGGAGGCATGTTGTCGCTGTTCGTAACCCTGTTTTGGCAGGTCTGTAGCTTCACTGTAGCCACTGCGTCCTGCTAGTTCCCGGCGACCATACGGGCGCTGCATAGTTTAAGAGACTATATTAACACCCTGGGGAAGCTTTGAGATGTAATCATTAAACAGTAGCGGGGACAGGACACCACCCTGTGGTACCTTCTGTTTAATTTTACGTGGCTTGCTAGTTTTGTCTCTGAAAATTACTGACGAGTGTCGACCATTCAAGTAATTCGCCGACCACCGTTTGAGTCCCTGTGGGAGTGAGGAGGCCTCTATATCTTCTAGTAGCGTTGAATGACTGACAGTGTCGAACGCCTTGGACAGGTCCAACGCTACTAGAATAGTTCTCTCACAGGGGCGGTTTCGGTTTAGGCCAAGAGTTATCTGAGTGTTTATGGCGTTATGTGCTGTTGCTGAGCGCTGGGGTCTGGTGGTTCGTAAAGTACGGGAGCAGCAGGGCCTCGAGTGTCTTCGCTACCGTGGAAAGGAGAGTTATCGGGCGATAATACTCTCTTTTGTTTGTTTGTTTGTTTATTTATTGATTTATCCTAACACGCAGGACCCAAATTTTTCAGCATCAACATGCATATTCCGTCGGGTCCAATGGATTTGGAGGCTTTCGCCTTCCCGATGGCTACCATAACCTCACCGCTGGTGAAAACAAGAGGCGCACTGGGTTTTGGCATTTTGTGNATACTCTCTTTTGTTTGTTTGTTTGTTTATTTATTGATTTATCCTAACACGCAGGACCCAAATTTTTCAGCATCAACATGCATATTCCGTCGGGTCCAATGGATTTGGAGGCTTTCGCCTTCCCGATGGCTACCATAACCTCACCGCTGGTGAAAACAAGAGGCGCACTGGGTTTTGGCATTTTGTGCAGCCTTCTGGTCACTCGACGTTTGGCTTTACAGGAGGATGCAGAATGAACTGCCGGCTAAAATAGCTCGCGCATCTCTCCGGGTCCGACGAAGCGTGGCCACCAAAGTCTATCTCGACTCTGTCGTCACGCTTCGTCGGGTTGGACAACGACCTCACGGTTGACCAAAGCTTGCTCACACCAGAGGCGAAGTTGCAGGTCTTCAGATGCTCTTCCCATTTCTTCCGCTTATGTACGTTCACAAGTTGCCGAATCTTCGAATTGAGATCCCTAATACGGGGATTTCAGGGATCGGACTGACGAAGTTTGTCGCGCTCATCAGCTAGAACAGCCGCTTCGGCAGGAAAGTTCGGACGTGGATCCTTAATACATCCTGCTGGGATGAAGCGAGCTGCAGCAGCGGTGACAACCCTGCGGAACTTACGTTCACCTACATGAACGTCGGTTGGTATGGGTAGTGCAGTGAAGGCGCCCTCAGTAACATCCGTGAAGCCTTTCCAGTCAGCTTTGGAAAAGTTGACATAAGTCCGGTGATCCACGGAAGCAAAGTCGGCAGGTTTATCAATCGAGATGACTATGGGCAGATGGTCTGATGCTAGAGTCAGCATAGGTCGCCATGATACGCTGTTTATCAGACCAGCGCTGACAATTGTTAGATCTGGCGAGCTGCAGCAGCTGCCCATAATCCTGGTGGGTGCGTCGTCGTTCATTGTGCAGAATGTCGAATCGTCTATCTGCTCAGCCAGATGTATTCCCCTACGATCATTTGACAGGCTTAAGTGCCAAATATCGTGGTGCGGGTTAAAGTCACCAACTACCATACGGTTTTCACCTCTGAGTAGCGCACCTATTTCAGGGTGATATCCTGCCGGGCAGCTGGTGACAGGGGGTATGTATACGTTAAATATTTCGAGCTCAACATCGCCTGACCGGATAGCAATACCCTGACATTCTAGGATGGTATCCCTGCGGTCGATGTCTGCTTCAATNCCAGTCAGCTTTGAAAAAGTTGACATAAGTCCGGTGATCCACGGAAGCAAAGTCGGCAGGTTTATCAATCGCGATGACTATGGTCAGATGGTCTGATGCTAGGGTCAGCATAGGTCGCCATGATACGCTGTTTTGCAGCAGCTGCCCATAATCCTGGTGGGTGCGTCGTCGTTCATTGTGCAGAATGTCGAATCGTCTATCTGCTCAGCCAGATGTATTCCCCTACGATCATTTGACAGGCTTAAGTGCCAAATATCGTGGTGCGGGTTAAAGTCACCAACTACCATACGGTTTTCACCTCTGAGTAGCGCACCTATTTCAGGGTGATATCCTGCCGGGCAGCTGCTGACAGGGGGTATGTATACATCAAATATTTCGAGCTCAACATCGCCTGACCGGATAGCAATACCCTGACATTCTAGGATGGTATCCCTGCGGTCGATGTCTGCTTCAATNGGTTAAAGTCACCAACTACCATACGGTTTTCACCTCTGAGTAGCGCACCTATTTCAGGGTGATATCCTGCCGGGCAGCTGCTGACAGGGGGTATGTATACATCAAATATTTCGAGCTCAACATCGCCTGACCGGATAGCAATACCCTGACATTCTACGATGGT